GAGTAGTACAGGTGAATGAGTCTTTCAGTGAGTTGAGGCAAATGTGGGAGGTAAGGAAGTGGATATGATCTGTAGGGACTTTCCTACAGAAATTTGGACTTTAAAAATGTTATCAATATGTTTTCAGCTGTAAGCATGAGAATATCCAAATTAAAAGTGGCTTATACAATAGAGATCTCCACTCAACACACACACACACACACACACACACACACACACACACACACTGCGTAATAAGAGGCTAGAGGTGGGTGGTTCATAGTTTTAGACTCTGGTTGGCTTCTTTGGGATACTTTTGGCCACCCTTAATGGTCATAAATGTGGGGGATAGGTCAGAGTGGTAAAAGAAGCTATAGGGAAAGAAGCAGACCTTTTGAAGGGTCAGAAGACTTTGCAAAGTGTCCAGGGAGAATAAGCTGAAGGCAGCTGTTCTCTTACCCTGAAGCAGAGGGCGAGAAGTAGGTGCAAGGAAATGTAGGGGAGTTTATCTAAATAGGTTTGTTTATGTTGTCTGGAAACTGACCTTTGATCATCCACATGAGAGACTGCTCCCTGAAAGTGGGAACAACAAGGTTACTTACCCACAGATTGCATTGGCTCCAGGCTTTCGGCATTATGTCTGTACTGAAATAAAAGCAAGCAGTGCCAGCTTATCAAGATGGTTCACTTTGTGGGCAATCCCCTAGCGCTCTTTCACTGCATACCTGTGTCTGAGTGTTCCTTTCATTCATCGCTTGGCCAGAGTCTGCGGGACAGACTCAGCACATAAGATGTTGGAAACATCTCCAAATATCATGTGCTCTACATGAAAATGTCTAGGAAGGTAACTTTCCTCATAGGTCTCTCTCTTACCAGGGAGAAAACTTTCCTGAAAGACTCCAGTGGACTTGCCCTAATGACTCATTGGCCTAAACACTCATATCCCTTCCCACAGCTGCAAGGGAGTCTCAGAAAGTGACTATATGGTGTGTTTTTCCTTTACGTTTGGAGGGAGGCTCTGCTTTTAGAGAAGAGGAAGGAGAAGAATGGCTGTACAGCCAACCAAGAGTTCTACAAAGGGTGTGATGAGAGTGTGGTAGCAGAAAGAGACATGGGCTCAGTGCAAGTTTTTTGTTTGTTTGTTTTTTGCTTGTTTGTTTTTAACATGGTTGGAACTGATCATGTTTAAATGCCTTTCAAAGAAAAAATATAATCAGAATAGTAAGACTTCTGTGATCATGGAATGCAATGGGACATAAAATATGAGAGATGGGCAAGCATTTCTTCCATTCTAATGGAGAGGAGGAGTAATGGAAAGGGTTGGATATAGGTGAATTTACAGGTTGTTGGGGAGTTGAGGAAATTCCCATCTGATAGCTTCTCTTCCTTCCCTGTGAAGTAGGCAGCTGAGTTATCTGCTGAGAGTAAAGGAGGAGCAGAGAGAGGCCAGGAGTCTGAATAAAGTAGACAACAGAAAGAGAGTTGCCCAGGCAACGCAGGATTTCCAGATGATTTTAAGGGTACAGTTGAGGTTTGCTGCTCTCAGTTTAACATGACTGCAATCAGGGGCATTTATGATTTTTCTTCCCTCCAGCCTCACTAGACCTAGTTAGTTACAGGTGTTAAGAACACAGAAGGATTAACATATCAGAGGACTTCCTGCACAGGGGTGATAAAATAAATGATGCAAAAGAAGATATTATCAAAAGAGCAATCAGAGTGATAAAACACTGAATCTAAATGGGAAGAAAGTGAAAACAGAGGAGTAGATATACCAGGAGAAAGTCAAAGGACCAAAGGGTTAGAGGCACTAAGGTGGCCAAATAAATGATATATTGACCATGAGTGAGAGAACTGGAAGATAAGGCTCACCAAACGGTCTGCATTTATTTCAGACTCGGCACAGTTCTGAATATTAACAAAGTTCAGAATGTGAAATGGGAATGAGTGGCTGAAGCAGAATGAAGAAGAATTGAAAAGTCATCGTATTAGAAGAGTAAACTATACAGCCTTGGTCCAATTTGTAAAAATAAAAGTGGATGAAATAAGGACTTTTCAAGTTTCAATGTGCATGTGAATCCCCTAGGTATTTATTAAAATGTAGATTGACATTCAGTAGCTTGGGGTGAAGCTTGAAATTCTGCATTACTGGCTGGGAAAGGTGGCTCATGTGTAATCCCACCACTTTGGGAGGCTGAGGCAGGCAGATCATGAAGTCAGGAGATCGAGACCATCCTGGCTAACACAGTGAAACACCGTTTCTACTAAAACACAACAATTAGCTGGGCATGGTGGCACACACCTGTAGTCCCAGCTACTTGGGAGAGTGAGGCAGGAGAATCGCTTGAACCCTGGAGGCGGAGGTTGCAGTGAACTGAGATCGTGCCACTGCACTCCAGCCTGGGCAACAGAGTGAGGCTCTGTATCAAAAAAAAAAAAAAAAAAAAAAAAAAAAAAAAAAAGGAAGAAAGAAATTTTGCATTGCTAGCAAGGTGATGACGGTGCTGTTGGTCTAGATATCCACACTTTGAGCACAAGTCACTGGAGAATCGTAACACTGACTTCCGCATATACTGTCATCTTTTAAATATTCTTCTATCCCACGTGGCTGAGGGAGACCTTGAGGCATTAGAGGCTAGGTGCTACTTGGCCCCTCCTACTGGCTGGGGGTGAAGAACTTGATGCAACTATAAATCCATCCATAATCCAGACTGAGCCAACTCCTTGCGAGAATCTGAACTGAGAAATAGAGACTGGGTCTGCTAAGAAGTGGTGGACACTGGAGCTGTAAGTTCCCTTTTCCTTGAGTTTAGCACCGAAACAAAGTAAAGGCATATGCAAGTTGAAGTTTTGGGAAAGTAGTGATCCTGAGGAAGCAGAGGAAGCTGGTTTTTAGGAAAGCTGTTGGAGCTGAGGCATAGAATATTGATGAGACAAGAGTAAGCAGCTCTAGAGTGTGAAGGTCATGACACCTTACTCCACCTCAAACATACCTTCCACAGATATCTGGACTCTCTGGACTGGCTTTTTGCCTCTCCTTCTCGTCTTGGCTAACTCACACTCTCCTTTTGGGTCTTTATTTAGAAGACTTCCTGGGGAAAACTTTTCCTGCCATCTGAAACTACTGGGTATCCTCCCATGTATCCCCATAGCATCCCATTGTGTCCAGTTCACAGCCCTTGTCACCGTTTATGACAGTCACCATTTGTATACTTACTATTGGTGGTGTCTTATATATTCTTTATTAAATACATTTTTAAAAAACCAGTTGAACATAGATACTATAGTTCCACTTATCATGAGCTTCACTTTTTACATTTGAAGGAGCTCAAGAGAGGTTAGATAACGTGTCTAAGATCACATAGCTTGTCGCTTGCAGCACCAGGGTTTTAGGGTGGAAACGATTAACCTCAAAGCTTGTGCTTATAGCCACCATATCTCTTTTCTCTAGATTGTATGCATCTCTGTTTTCCACTCTAGCTTCAAGACTATGACTATGACTGTGTCTTCATCACTATATTACCATGTCTGGTAGTTGTCTGGTACATAGCAGATTCTCAAAAGTATTTTGTTGAACGTGGCTGAATGTGAGTGAATAAAGTTATTTGTACGACCACTCAATTTTCTAAGATAACTGGGTGCAGGATTATGTAGCATTGCTGTTTAATCAGGATGTCCTGAACAAACAAACATGATTTGTAAAATATGTAACTTGTAGATCAGATAAGCACCATACTAATTCTACTCCATGTTGCAAATTCCAGATCTATGTATCTACATGGTTTTTAGGCCATCCCTTGTCGTAAACTGCTGGGTGGACGCCTGGAATCATGGCTTGGATTCTAAATGTTGTGTAGGTACAACTTCCAACCCAGACCCTCCCTGCACACAAACGTTTTCAGAGCTGTCTTCAATCTAGGTCCTATATAGTGTCCTGAGACTCCAGCGTAGCTGTATTTATTTCCTAATATTTATACATGATTCGAAATGTAGAGCGACGTTGTTACTTTTCATGACCTGTTCACTTGCAGTTGTCTATACCCTGAAGCCTGGAAGAGGAGATTGGTACAGGAAGCACTGGCTCCATTGCTGCAAACTTGCTTAGTCAGCACCATCACTGGCGGCATGAGTGGACAAGTCAAATTAAGTATCTACCACTACTGCCTCCTGACTGTTTCTGTAAACAGCATAAGATCCCTGTCACAGAACAAATCAGGGCAAACATACAAACAACCCTAAACCAAAATTACCAGTGACTGCCATTCTGTCCTCGTTAAGCGAAGACTGAGGGAGTTAAAGCAGGTCGATTGTCTTTAAAATGCTTTCAGCCAGGTGTAAGGCTATCTGCAGAAATGTGCTTTGCCCACGTGGATCGCATGGACGCTAATTACTAAGAAGCTGAGAAACGTGTAGCCGCGGAGATTGGCCGCCCTACGGGGAATAAGCTGGCACCTCTAGAAATAAAGCTCCGCAGCCAATGTGGCGCCTCGGGCCGCGGGATTGGTGGCCTCGGTTATGACGTGACCTGGGCTGGGCGCGCCGGTCCAGGCCGGCCGGCTGTAGACGGAGGCCGCGGGTCCCGGTCGGGGGCGCTGAGAAGCAGCGGAGAAGGGATCTGCAGCGCTGCGCCGGGACCGCGCGCCCGCCCTCGGACAGCGAGGAAGGTCTCCTCCCACTCATCTGGCCCGAGTCCTCCCGCCGCGGCACCGGATCCCGGCGCGGGTGTGCACCCAGGGCCCGCGCTCCCCGGCGAGGCCGGGGCTCCCCAGTGTGCGGGCTCCAAGAGGATGCCCAGGTTAGGCGGGCGCGGGGCCAATCTGGGCAGGGCCGAGGCGGGATTCCCCCGCTAGCTGTGCCCAGGCCATACTCCTGCTGCCATTCCGGCCGAGAGCGCGGCGAGAGCAGCGGCGGGAGGTGCGGCGAGCACGCCGGCCCTGGGTAGCTGCAACACCGGAGACGGATCCAAGTTGCTTGGCTCGGCCCGGGCAGCGACCTGAACCCGCCGCGCCGCGGGGTGGGTGTGCGGAGCGCTGGGCTGTGCCTCTGCAATTTCACTTCTCCCGCCGCTGGGGAACGGAGCGGGGGAGGCGCAGAGGGCTGGGAGAGGGGTTCGCAATGCGTTCTTCCAAGAAAACTTTTTTCTGCCTTGAACGTGAAGGAATACGTGCTCACTGTAGACAATTGGGAAAACATGGGAAAGTACTGTGTAAAAAATGGGGGGCGGGGGCGAGGCGTGGGAGTCACTTGGGGCGCGGGGACGGCGATTTGCTGTGCTAACCGCAGCCGGGTGCGAGCGGCGGGCTGCGCTGCCCCAGGGGCCCGGGGGGCGGAGAGCCGCGCGGCGTGGAGGGCTGAGATTTGAGGAAGTGGGAGCTGCCCGGGCGGGGGCGTCCCGCCGAGAGTCCGCCACGCAGCGTTTGTTTCCTTTCACTTCCTGCGGCAGCTGCTCTAGATGAGGAGGTGCGCGTGGCCGCGGCGGAGCGGCCGGAGTCTTCGGGTGTGAGCGCCCACCCACCGCGGGCGCCAGCGCTTCCTTGACCGCTCAGGTTCGGCTATGCGGGAGCGGTGAGGAGGAGGCTTGCAGTGGTGGACCTGAGAGCTCGGGAGGTCATGCTGGCTTGCTTTTAAGTGGCTTGAAGAAAGTGAAGAAACCCCAAAATGGAGGACTTCGCTACCAGGACCTACGGCACCAGTGGCCTGGACAACAGACCTCTGTTCGGGGAGACGTCCGCCAAGGTGAGCTCAGACTGTGGCTCCAGGAGCCGATGGGGTGTGTGTCTGCCGCCTGCCCTCCCGCCGAGTCCAGGCTAGGTCCTTCTGCGGCTCCTAAAAGCACTTTTAGGTTGGAAGCTGATTCTGCAATCCCGCTTCCCTCTCAGGATGTTTGCCCGGCCACTTGTCCTCTGCTTTGGGACATGGTTGGCCAAGAGAGCCTTGAAGGCTGGAGAAAAGTTCAGAAAGTTCTGGGTGGTTGGAAGCCCTTCTGGGGAGTGTGGAAGCCTCTCCGGAGGGGAGGTTGATTTAGTGGTGGCACAGCTGCACCTTCAGCAGGAGTACTGACTCTCCAAAGGCTTCAGGTGTGTGCCCACAGCTTCCTAAGAGAGCCGAAAAGGGTGCTTCTGATTCCTGTTTACAGAGCTTCCTAAGAGAGCCGAAAAGGGGTGCTTCTGATCCTGTTTACAGAACTCTTAAGGGTTCGCTGCTGAGCAGTGAAGCAGCAAGCAAGGAAAGAGGGGAGAGACTTGAGGTGAGGGGTTCTAGAATGATAGCTTCCATTCCAGGAAGTGATCAAAGGGTCCCTGAACTCAAACAAGCTATCGTACATTATTCTGGACTTTAAAAAGCATAACATCTTTTAAAAAGGATTAATTATGTGATGTGCTGGGCCAACAATTGAGGAGAGATCTCTTTCTATCGTCAGCATTAACTTTCTGAGTACTTTGGGCAAGATATGCCTAGTTTATTTTTTCACCTAGAAAGTGGCATTGGTTGACTGGTCCTAGTGCAGTGTTGTTGCCAACTGATCACAGCCAGTTACAGATTTCTTTGTTCCTTCTGCAATCCCCCTGCTTCACTTTACTGGCCTAAAAAAAAAAAAAAAAAAAAAAAAAAGTGCTGGTGATCTCGGACTTCTGATAAACTGCTTTCACCTCTCGAAAGGTAATGCACATGTAGAGTCCAGAGCTTCCGAGATTTCTTAGTTTTGGCAGGAGCCCTCCAGCAGACAGGATAGGGAACTGGTACACCTAGCAGTCTGGAGGATAGCCCTGAATTTGGAAGCTGTGAAGCTGCTGCAGGACTACTTTATTTTTTAAACTCCACGTGGATTTTACTTTCTCTTTTCAATCAAAACGTTTTAACATGGAAAGCATTTTAAATTCTGTGTCCAGGAAGATGCACCTTGTTCATCTTGTGGCTTTGTGTAATCCCAGCCCACAGTGCTCCTGGTTTGAGATGCATGCCTCCTCCAGTAGATGTTCCATCTTATGCAAACGTTATTGAGCATTATGTATTTAGCCCTGGGTAGCCAATGAACCCTGTCAGGTGGGAAAAAAAAAATGTAGACAAATGTGATGTGGTTGGATCTGTGCTATGACAGGGACATGTTGGGGTAGAGACAAGAACTGGTATGGGAAATTTGTCCATCTGTCCGAAGAGCTAAGAGGGCTTCCACAACATATTTCAGCACATAGATTGGGGGTCTGGGTGATCCAGACCCCTGACCTCTTTTAACCCATTGCTCTTGTAATTATAGAGGTAGATGACTTTGGTAATGGACTCATCCATTTATGCAGACACTTAGAAATATTGATGTTTTTCTAATTAGCTTGGGACAAAACGTCCAGTGACTTAAGTTTCCTGTTGCCCATGATCCATTTGAAACACATCCAAGAACTTTACTATTCCAAATGGATCTGTTGTTGCATATTTACTTACTATAAGAATGTATCACACTGCGATTATTTAGGAAATTTTAGGGCATTGTAATCATAGCTTTAGCTATTCAGAGAAAAAAGTTAATACATATTAATTCCTAATATCTCAATATTTCTCCCTTTAGCTCCCTCTATGAAGTGAACAGGGTGATTGGACATAGAGAAATTCCACGGAATGGAGAAGGGAGAGAGACCCCTAGTCTGAGGGTGGGAGAAGACATGTATACAAATGGAGACACTACATTGGAGAGAAGAGAGGCATCCATATGTGTTCACAGCAAATGAAGATTTGAGGGCCTGGGAGGGTGAGGCCCAGGAATGGCCTCAATAGTGAAAGGATAGGACATGTTACAGTGGAGCCATTTCCACAGAGGACAGCAACTGCTAGAGCAGGGTCCTGGGGACACTGAGAAACCCATCACTTGCCCTTGTGTGTGGATGTCTCCAGCTTGCTGTTTTACATGCCAGGAAACGACACAATAGCCACTTGACAGTGGAAACTTGCTGTTAGTGAACTACCAGTTCCGAGAAAATCGAGAAAGCATAAAGCCCAGTTCCTGTCCTAGTCAGACAGGTGGTTTCCTGTGCATTTTGTAATCTTACTTGCTTTATGAGAACTGATATAAATAGCCTCTCAACTTTAAGTGCAAACTCTAAAAGAGAACTGAAGCTCAAAGAGCGGAGAAGAGTGCATTTGTGTTTCCTTGGTGCGAGGCAACATGGTGGGCATTCAGCTTTCCCTTGTTTGATCATCAACTTGCTTTGTGAGATGGGTGTTCTTATTTCTGTCATATAACGAAGGAAGTGGAAGAAACCTTAGAGAGGGTTACTTGTTCAGTCATAAAAGTAGTTTCCTCTGGTAATGTTTCACCAACTTCCTTTCATGAGTTGAATAGTGAGGTCAGTAGTAACTTAAGACAGTTTTTGCTTCTCAACACACTCCAGACATCTGCATAACCTGTTGCCCTTTCAGAGAACGTAGGAGTTAAAGTGGTTTGCCTCAAGTCATGAGGTGACTGAGAGATAATGAAATGTATTATAGAACAATGAATATTAATATATAACCAAGTTGGCCTTGAGCAGCATCCTCTTGGGGAAATCCCTCAAGGAAAGTTTGTCTTTATCTGTGCTGGGTGCACGTAGTGATTTCAGTTACTGAAATCCTAGATTGAATCTTCAACATGAAAATTCTTCATTCTAAGTGTATTCCTATCTAAAAATAGCTTTACAGGTGTAGTCACAGAAAGGCAAAGTGAAACAGTTTTCTGTTGTTCCATAAATATCTAGAGGATTTTTTTTCCTTTGAGGCAGAGACTCACTTTTGTCACTCAGATTGGAGTACAGTGGCACGACCACCACTAACTGCAGTCTCCACCTCCTAGGCTCAAGTGATCCTCCCACTTCAGCCTCCTGAGTAGCTGAGACTATGGATGCTTCCTACCAAGCCTGGCTTTTAAATTTGTTGTAGAGATGGGACCTCCTGTATTGCTCAGGCTGGTCTCAAACTCATGCCCTTAAGCTGGTCTCAAACCTTGGCCTCTAAAGTGCTGGGATTATAGGCATGAACCATTGTGCCCGTCCTGGGGATTATTGACAAAAAAGGAAAGGTGTTCATTTTTGTAGGAAACATAGACCTCATTCCTTGAAACCTATGGAATTTTTATGTTGTTAGGCTGGCTGTCTTATGAATCCTAGTTTGAATGCCCAGATGATTTTTATATGTTTTTTAAACTATTCCCCAGTAGAGTACTTCTCTTTCAGGTTAGAAATATGGCACAGAAACCAAGATGGTAAGAAATATCTGAAGTTTCCAAGTCTGTGTTGTGGCTTAGCATTTTCTGAAAGAGTGCTTTCCAGTAGAAATATGATGTGAGCAGCCATATATGTAATTTATATTTCTTTGTAGCCATATAAAAAAGTATAAAGAAAGAAATGAAGTACTAATAACTTTAACCCCATATTTCCAAAATATTAATACTATCATTTCAACATATAATCTATACTAAAAAAAAATTTAGCTGGGTACTGTGGCTCATGCCTGTAATCACAGCACTTTGAGAGGATGAGGTGGGAGAATCACTTGAGCCCAGGATTTTGAGACCAACTTGGGCAACACAGGAGATCCTGTCAGTACGAGGAAAAAAAAAATAGCTGGGCATGGGCATGGTGGAACCCACTTGTGGTCCCAGCTGCAGACTCGTTCCACTGTGCTCCAGCCTGGGTGACAGAATGAGACTGTCTCAAAAAACAAATTGAGATATTTCTACAATGTTTTTGTACTAAGCCTTTGAAATCCAGTATGTATTTTATACTAACAGCCCATCTGCATTCACACTAGCCATGCTTCAGATGCTCAGCAACCACGTATGGCTGATACAGGCTGATGTCCCAAATCCAAAGTATGAAATGCTCTAAAATCCAAAACTTTTTGAGCACTGACTTGATGTTACAAGTGGGAATTGCCACGCAAAAGTACTTAACACAAACTTTGTTTCATGCACAGAAATTTTTGAAATACTGTATAAAATTTGCCTTTCAGGCTATGTATGCAAGATATATGTGAAACCAATTTCGTGCTTAAGACTGGTGTCCCACCCCAAGGTCTCAAGTATAAATATTCCAAAGCCTGAAGACAACCAGAAATCAAACACTTCTGGGCCCAAGCATTTTAGATAAAGGATACCCAGCCATTTCAGACAGCTTAGTTATATAAAGCAGCTGAAGTGCTAGTCATGGTGGTTCCATAGCCGCATTTATGAAACTTTTTTTTTTTAATTGTGGGACTCCTGGAAGGTTTAATATGCCAGTTTTCATTGTGACCCTAGTTGGTGAGGGTGGGTAGGTAGCACTTCCTAAACTGTTAAGGTGGTGTGGCCTTTTTAGCCCTAGCACAGTGCCTTATCCAGTTCTTACCTCCCTAGGAGCATTCAGTAAACAAGTTTCTATAGAAACTTTGGGAAACATGGTTCAGTGAATTTCCTTCCTCTACTTTTCCCTCCCCTCCTGTCCCTTAGTGTGAAGTAAAACCTGGAAATAGTCTCCCCTCTTCTGCCCACAGCTACCTTTAAAAGTTTGCTTTAATATAACACACGGCTTGGGCAGTCTTTCCCACTGTCTATGTTAGAAGGGCACTAAATTACTCTCTGGGCTCCTGAGTCAGTCTTGATCTCAACTTGTTAGCTGGCTGTGGAATCATCTGAAATCGGTTTCAGTTCACCTAGACTGGTAAACCTAGGAGGGGAGGGAGAGAATGGTTTTGTCAGTGGAGAAAGCAAAGCAGCAGCATCCCATAGCTAGGGC